AATATTTTTATTATATATTATATTATATTTCAAGATATAATTACTATATAATATGTTTTGATTATATTATAATATTGAAGGGTAATTATGGAAAAAAAAAATAAAAAAAAAAGAACTTAGAATGACCATTTCTCGCATATGAGGAAGGAATGATGATTCACTCAAAATGGGTGAATGGCCATTCCTTTTGAATGATCATTTATTTCTTATAAATCCAACCAAACATCAAATTAGAATTCAATTTCATTACATTCCATTCCTTTCCACCCAACCAAACACACTTTTAAGAGAATCAATAATCCTTATTGTTATTACTTTACTTTTTAATCCCATTACTTTCTCATTATATTTCTTTACGTTTTTTCCTTAATGTAATATGATGTTATATATTTGCGGCAATTTAAAATTAAGGATAACTTTTTTAATAGATATATAAAAAGATAAAAACACATTTATATATGTACAAACTTTTACACCAAAAGTTCATAAAATCACAACGATTTGTTTAAAAAGATGTGTTTGTAATGTAGATATACCACAAAACCAGTGCATTTCTCCCAAAGAAAAATAAATCCCATTAGCATGTAAAGGAAAACCCCATTGATATATTCGTTTCTCTCTAGAATTCTTTGATTTGGTCCTTATCTCCTTTTATTTTACAATGCTAAAACGTTTTGAAAATTCCTAGCACAACAACATCGTAAAAAAAATTTGAAAGATTTTATTTATTATCTATTATATGTGGAATTTAATCAAAATTAAATTGACAAAAAAATTTCAAAATTAACAGTTTCTAATACACTATACAATAGAATATAAAAGAGGGTGGCTTCTTTACTCTCCACATCTCCCTTTTAATTATAACTTCTTATTAGAAAAGACTCTCATGTAAAATGACAAAAAAAAAAAAAAAAACTATTATAATAGACTTAATTACATAATTAAATTTTATTATAAAAAATAATTGATATTTTTTTTCCCTTCACACACCCTACATGTCATATTCTCAAACTACAAACAATTGCTATTTTGAAATCTATGATAAAACTTTAATTTTTTCCACTGAATAGCTATTCCAAAAAATTACATACAAGTATGTTAAATTTTCTTTATTATTTGTTCTATGGTGATTGTTCTTTTGCCTTTTCTTTCATTCATTTTGTGTTTTTTTTTATTTTTCTAATTATTTTATTTTTGAAAGGGAAAATCATTTTGTTTTATTTTGTTTTATGTTGCTTATAAAGTAGAATTGATTTTTTTTTTTCATTTTGTTATTTTTTATACTTATTATGATCGTTTATTTGTTTTTTTTTTATTTTGTATTTTAATCATACCTAAAAAAATATAATAACTTTGTTACCGTATATTTTATTTCTTGAATTATGTTGATTTATTTTTTAAATAGAAACATAAATGTTTGTGTTAGTTTTAACCACCAAACAACTGTGTTTAAAATCCACATTATCCTCGAAGTTGATTGAATTAGTTGTCTTTCGAAATTTCCATATGGAAGTTCTCAACGAACAATTGAGTGGGAGGATGAATTCAATTGATGTACACCATTGACGCATACAGCGGTCATATGTGAATCAAGAAATTTTATGTCTTTGTTGGTGGTCTATTGTGGTAATAATGACAACAAATAAATCCAAGACTTTTCTATATTTTTATCGCACCAAATTGGCAAGCAAGGAATTGCTTAAAAATTAAAAAAGATACCCCACCACTTTTTCCTTTTTAAAAATTTTTTACGGTGAAAAAATTTATTTTACTCAATAAATAAATAAATAAGACATGTTGTTTCTAACCGTTTAATAGTCAAATTTATAAATAATCGTATTAAAAATTTATAACGCAAGATATACATTTGCTCATCTTACATATTAGACTATTGAGATCTCGTTCATTTTACCGATTTGAGTTTATAATTCAAATTTTATTACAGTAAAAAACTCTAAAAAACAGTCATATCTAACTTTTTTGTTACAGTTAAAATTTGTTTACAAAAAATCACATCTTAACTCGAATAACGAACTAAACGGACTCTAAAAATGTAATCTAACGGTTTAAAAATAATTTTTACGGCGGAGAAAAATAACCTTTTTTTAATCATAAATGCACTATTCTTTTTATAATCGATCTAAATAAAGAATTACTTAGGTTATGACTGAATTAGGTTCATGGTTTACCTTCAGCATGAAACGGTCATTTTAAACAAGAAAACGTCAAAAAAGAAAGAAAGATTCAAAGAAAGGCCAGCAAAGGCAAGTAGTAATAATAAGTCTACGTGCCAAAGCAGGGACGCAAAAATAAAAAAGAAACAACGAAACCAAACCACACGATTTCGCTCAAGTCGGTGGGTCCAGACTCCCGAAGCGTTCAATATATTAATAGTTAATTTGACGGAAAGGAAAGCCAAACAAGAAAAAAAAACATATATTATTATTTTTTTATTTTTAAAGGACAAAATCCCCCCATAGAAATATTAAAGAAGAGACAGAAAAAAGTGGCAGACGAAGGAAAAATAAATTACAAAATAAAAAAAAAAAGTGTCGAGTCATCCATGAGGCGCTCCTTTTGGGCGACCTCCGCAATACACGCGCCCGTCACTGTCTCAGTATTTTCAAAAAAGGAAAATTGTGAAAATTTTTAATAAAATCTAATCCTTCTTTTTCTGCTCCATAAGACAAAAATTATATATAAATACCCTTACCGCCTCTCTCTCTCTAAACCCACGAACACACTCTTTGACATACATCACTGTCCCTCGGTCCTTATTTTCTCGGAAACTCAAAAAGAAGAGAAATCTCAAATTTTTTCTTTTCTCCCAAACACCCACCTAATCTTTTTCCTTCATTTCTAATCCTTTTTCTTCTTTTTAAAAAAAAAAAAATTTAATTACACACCCACCACCACCACCCCAACTTTTTCCCATCTCTGTCGCTCTCCTTGTCCCCATCTTTTTCCCATCACCCAAACAAATCTCAAATTTTCTATTATCTTAGCAAATCTAATCTTTACATATTGTCCACTATATAACCCCCAACCCCTCCGACCCACTTCCTCACTCATACTTTATACCACCCCTTTCTCTCTCTTCACACAATCCTTAATCTCTCTCTCTCTCTCCCTCTCTCCTTTAAGGACATAATCCTTGCCTTTGGATTTTTTCTGTCCCCTTTGAAACTAAGCAAATCACGATTTTTCTCTTTCCTCTCATTGGCTCTCTCTCTCTCTCTCTCCCCCCCTAATGGACAATTGTGATATTAACAAGAAGCGAGTCCGCGACGCCGACTTGGAAGCCAACTCGGCCGAGTCAAAGCGAGTCCGAGTCGTCTCGGAAGAGTCGGTCGCTGTCGTTGTGCCGTCGGATTCGCAACTCGTTCGAGTTGACTCGGTCAACTCGGATATAAACTCGGTCGAGTCTGTTCTTGACTCGTCCGAGGCCGGGCTTCTCCAAGACGACCTACTCAGCATCCTCGACGAGTCGGAGTCACCGGTGATTCAAGGCCTTGATTCAGTTATTAGAAGCTTCGAGGAAGAGATTTCCCAGCCGGTGCCGGAAATGCAGGTGACGTCGGATTCCGGCCAGTCTCAACCGGAGCTGGGTTACCTTCTCGAAGCTTCGGACGACGAGCTGGGCCTCCCGCCGACGGCCGTAGATTTCGAAGAGGCGAAGATCGAGGCCGTTGTTTTTGAGAGTTCATCAGACGGCGTCGTTTTGGATGGGAATAGCGGAATGCTTCTGTTTGAAGATGAGATTCCGAGTTACGACTCGTTCGAGTTCGGAATCGGCGCTGAGTTGGACGGCCGAAGCGGCGATTTTGGCGGTGAGTACGTGGCGTTGGGTGGTTTGTTCGATGGCTGGGATGGGAGTTATGAAAACGGTGCTGTGTCGGAGGTTTCGTGGCGGACGGAATCTTTGCGGGCTATGTAGAAACGTTTCTACGCTAACCGGATTTTGTAGGTGTAAGCTGGGACGTTTCGTGACATGTAATAGCTTTGTTTCTTTTTAGGGTAGGTTGTATAAACTGGAAAAAGAAAAAAAAAATTTGTGAAGTTAACTATAACTGTTCGTTTCTTTCTTTTTTTTTTTTTTTTTTTCCTGAAAATCTGATGAGAAAATGTTGATTTCGGAAAACCAGATACAATTTATGTAATAAGAAATTCAACCATATAATGTCTTCTATTTGAGTAATAAAAAATTGTGATGTTAAGGCTCGTTCGTTTCGCTGATTCGAGTTTAGAATTTGAGTTTTATTACAGTAAAAAATTCTCATAAATAATCATATTTAATTTTTTTGTTATAGTAAAAAGTTTTTACATATGATCACATCTTAAGAAAACAACACAAAAATTTATCTTTTAGAAGAAGAAATAAGGCATAATAAAATAGAGTAAGAATGGTGGATAAAGTATGAAATCTGTGTTGTGACAAAAGACACGTTATAATTTTATTTAAATTTATATTCTTTTATAAAATTTGAGTTTAAACTCAGAATTTAAACTTGAGTTTGAGTTCAAGTTTCTCTTTCAATTTGAGTTTATAAATTCGACTTCATGTTAATGAATAATATTTTTTTTATTTTTAAAAATATCATAATTTTTTCATTTTAATTCTGATTGAGATGATTTTTTTTTCTATGCATTCACAATAAAAAGACGAATAAAATTTTATTTATATATCTTATTAAAATTTTTTATTACTATTGAGTTTTTATTAAAATACTATCTAAATATAAATTTAAGTTTTGACTCATCTAAATATAAATTTAAAAAGATTATCAATTCAAATTATAATACAAATGTGCACATCTAAATACAAATTTAAGTTATAACTCAAACTCAATTTAAAATCATCACTCAGTCACTTTAACTCAAAAATGCAGAAGAACAACCCATTTATTTTCAAACCTCCGTATCGCCTTCATATCTCCCAAATGAGCATATGCTTACCAATAAATGATGTCACAAGCAAATACAAAAAGAATTACCGCCTCTCCCTGTGCGCAAATTTGAATTTGAATTTTTAAGATATGAGAATTTTTTAGGCTCATTTTATATTTACATTCAAATTTTCAGAAGTTTTCAAAATATGCACTTTTTATCCGAGCTGTGTAAAATATTAAATTTTCAGATGTAATCTAACACGGGAATTACGCAAGTATACCCCTAAAAAAGCACATAGATTTGCAAGAAAAAACCAGTTCTAATATTGAATAACAAAATTAAATGTAGTGCAATCGAGATCTAATTTATTTAGAATATTTCTTTTTAAGTTGATTTTTTATTATTTTCTTTTTAAATTCTGTAATCATGTTACATTTTATTTTAAATAATATGGTTTGTTAAGATTTTGTAGAAACTAAAATAAATAATCATGGTAAAAAGTTGGTCGAGGAAAAATTTGAATATTTCTTTTATATCGTTGCTGTATAATTTTGCAGAACCGTAACTGTGGTAAAAACTCATAATAAAATTTATTAATTTGGATTAAAACAGTTAGACATATAAAATAATCTAGCTAGTCATGTTGTAACATAACAAAAAATTTAGAACATTATAGATAGAAAATTAAGATTATTGTTATAATTAATACATAATTTTTCTATTACTAGTAAAAAGAGCACGTGCAATGCACGTGCTAGTTAATAGAGCATGAATTTAATTATTATATTTATTGTTTATTAGAAAAATAATTTTATAAGGGAGACAAATAAGTTCTATTAATTACCAGACTCTATTAATTATAATTTAAAAGATATAGAGAGTTACGATGATGAAGTATAATAATTTTAAAAAGTTATAAATAATGATAAATATTTTATTTGTTATTTGAAACACATAGCATAAGAAAAAAGATTTACATAAAATGCATTTATATCATTAAAAACAAGTATGAAAAAGAAACTTGATGCAAATAAATTTTAAATTTCTTATTAATATGAGGTTTTAGTCTAAATAAAATGATAAAATGATCATTTTATCATGTAATAGAAACATTATTATTTAATTTGACCCTTTTCTCGTAGCCCTAAGTAAAAGAAAAAAGTAAATAAATAATAGATAATAAAAAAATAAAAAGTACTAAAGACAAAATGAAGAATTTACTTTTTGAGAGTGCACGAGTCTAAATTTTTATCCTTTATTCTTAATAAATATTTTTTTATTAGTGTAATTATTTAACTAAAAAAGTTATGAATGAAGAATAAAAGGTAAAAATCCTGACCCACGAATTTTTAAAAAGTATTTGTTAAGATGACACTTAATATTATAGGAATGGTATTCATTTTCATGATATCATGTCCCTTTTATGCAATGTCCAGCACTGTATTCATTTTCATGCGCACTGGTTGGGGTATCATACTTACCCCTATAATGGAATTGCAGGATACACAACTTCGGATTAAAATTTTATGTCTAATTTTGATATCTTAATTGGTGTTTAACCAATTATATCATGTCACATCATTTCATTATAAACACAAAAGAGTTAGTTAAAAAAGCAATTCAACATCTCATAATAAGTACAAAAGAGTTAATTAAAAATCAATTCAAATTTTTTACATAACGTAAATTTTTTACATGACATGATATAATTAGTTAGACAATAATTGAGACACTAAAAGTTAGACAAACGATATGGATCCCACAACTTCATTGCATTAGGGTTTATATTTGCACTCACATATGGAATTGCAGGATACAACAACTTTCTACTGTGAGTGTAAATTGCCTTTCAATTAGGCTCTTACAACATCAATCAAGAGTCTGTCTGTTTTGGCTCTCTAGTACCAAATTATTGTACCGGCGACAAATTTCAATACGGGGTAGGAAAATCACTCTTAAATGTAGTGCTATTTTTATTACTATATTTTATGTCAAGGTTGTTTAATTGAGAGATTCGTCCCCTGATTCGAATCATGATTCGTAGTTCGTTACAGTATTTTCTCTCACAAAAAATACACGTAAATAAAAAATGATTCTAATAACATGGTTTTAATCCATGAACCAAACGTCAAATAAATTTTTACTTGGTCTTAAAGTTAGCATCAAGTATAGGCAATAGCATATGCAAAGTGTTGACATTTAAGTGAAATTAGTGGTTATATTGACATTTTCTTTAATCATTCGATAACTCAGTTTAACTTTATCAGTTCCAAAACTTTATGACAGAAGTAAAATATAGCATTTAAAAATCACATTATGTATTAATGTACAAAATAAAATAACAATATTTTCACACATTTTAATATCAAATATAGCAATGGAGATGCTCTAGGCTCGTGTTTAAATACTTGTCATCTCCCTCTCTATCGTAGTGCGACATAAGACTCAAGACAATCTCTACTTTTCCATAGGTCGGCTTGATAATCATGACAAGCTCATTGCGGCAAGCCTCGTGGAAAATCTTTTTTTTTTTTTAAACTTAATTTAATCCTGGTTGAAGACGGAAACATACCAGAGAGATTTCCATAGAGCAAACTTGAAAGTAGAGGCTCAAAAATAGATGACCATCAAGACCAAGTTCCAACCTTTTCTTCTTATTATATTTATATATATATATATATATATTTTTTGTTTCATTGATCAGCCTTTTATTCTAATTCCTTTTTTTTTTAATAGATTGCTTTCGTTCATACTGTTGTCCTCATCAATAATGATCATTTGGCTCTTTCTTTGTACTAGCTTCTCGTTAATTTTGGATTATAAGCAACTCTCTTGATCCCATTAAACAATCATTTTTGGTATATAAGAAGTATTTGTGAGAAAATCAGTGGCGAACAAGATCTTAATTTCATTACTAACTTGGCAAAAAATCAATCACCATCAGAAGCTATATGTATAACGCACTATATTGGTAAAACTCTGAGAGCAAAGCGTTGCATACCTTGATAATAATATTGTAAATATCTCAACCTAGAAACTTCTTCCCATGACTTTCCACTTCAGCTAATTGGGCGCTAACAAGTGAACGAAAAACGGAAACAGCAGAATAACAATTATGCATCCGGTCTTGCAACAGTTGGTGAGAGGCAACATTCTCAAACCGAGCAAAAAACCGGGTTCTTTTAGCTCTTCCCCATCAACTAGATCTGCAAGGAAAAAAAAAACCATTTGATTTAGCAATTCACTCACATAGAAGACAAGTTACACAGAGTTTAAAGGAGGTCGCCACCAAATCAGATGTGACCATAGTTAGCAGCCAGAAGCACGATGATGATAACACAAAACGAAACAGGATCTTCCTGAATAAGTGAAGTAAATAAATGACGACGAAGTGAATTTTACTGCAGGAACGTTTGAAAATTCAGGAGTTAAAGTAGACAATAGTATGTGTTGAAGCTTTTAACAAGACAATATGAGTAATCAGATAGTTAGAAGAAAAGTATTTACGGTATTTATGAACTAATAAAAGAATAACTGGATTAAATCATGCAAAAGGACTGAGACTGAGATAATAAAGCTCCTCACACGGGCTGCAATATTAAAGTGAAATTCCTAGCTATCCACTCCTAGGTAAGGAAACAATGCATGACGATAAAACCTAGTTTAGGATCATTCAACATTCATGTTCTGTCTCACCAACTGTCCAAACCCGATAATACACCTTGTTTTTTCGTTAAAAAAAAATCCAATTTACTGATATACCCTTCCCAAGTGCTTGAGGCTATATCTAACTAGTTTGTAGGCTCAAAAGTTGGAGGCCTAGCATTATCATCAAGTGATTCTCTTTCACATCATGCATATGATCTCAGAAAAAAAGAATAAAGTACTCTGATTCAAATAACTAGGAGACAGCAAATGCTACACCCAAATAATGAATCATGTTATTTCAACTGTTCTGTTGTCATGCAATATAACTCGAGTGGGGAAATGAAACAACAAGTGAAAAGACGAAAAATTCTCACCATGGCAACGCCAATCACAAACATAATAACCCAAAACTAGATTGTAACACCAAAGTCCATGAGTAGGTTAGCTTTTATGCATACTCAATTTGCTATTTGCTAGTTGTTGCTTCTCATATCATTTAGGATTAACTAGTTAAGAGAGATAAGGATAATAGTAGTAGCAGATGCTTAGTTAAAGCGCAATGCGGGGCTTTCACACAATATCACCAGAGTACATAAATTAGTCAACATTAAACGTACTCAAGTTTCTAATTGCTAGATTAAATCAGGGCTGTTCATTTCAATTAGGTTTTGTTAGTTAAGAAATTAAGATAATAGCAGGAGTAGACTAGATGATCAATTAAGCACATTTTTTCATCGGACTTTGACACAGGGGGCCGCTTAAGTGATACCATGTCTCCCTTAATTTATGTACGAGGATGGAGCTAAATGGCAAAAGCTAGTTTAGACAAACCATATTCCGAGTGCCACTTTATAACAAATAGCTAAAGCAGTTGGAGATGAGTAAGCAAATGGACTTGGCTAAATGATTACCTAGTTTAAGTGGTTAACACATTTACATGACTACGCTTGATCATGGAAACAAAAATTGTGCTTTTGAGAGTAAAACCGTAGTTGAGGGAATGGGAAGATTTCTTAATACTAGTACCATAAGACCGATTATCACGGTTCTTACGAGGTTATAATGCTCGAACCTTAGTCAGTGAAAGATTGTTGATTGTTTGATAAGTCTGTGTTAAGGAAGAAATATAAATAGCATGCTTTTGAACAATCATATGGGGCATCTGCATTCTTGGCAAATAAGAAATTCGCGTGAAACCATTAAATTGTAAACTCGAATCGGTGAAATGAACGGGGCTAAGGTTGACCTCATACTTTGCTGGGACTTCAGGCAAAATTTCAATCTTATCAGACATTTTAAACTGTCTCAAAACTGAGTCCCCATCTCCAAAATTCTTCCAAATTAGTTTCCTGTCCACCCGACTTCAAAAATCTCAATGAAAAATAGACACGAGGACCATGTGCTGTTTAATAGGAGTTAATTGTGTAATTTTACATGTTATGGTATGATTGTTAAGAAGAAGTTTACGTCTTTCCTTTTGCCACAAAATTGAATCAAATGACAAAACCAATTAATCACAATACTCAGAAACTTTTAAGGAATTAAGACAAAATTGCAAATGAATCAACCACCTAAGACAACAACACGCCAAAACTAAACTTTTTTAAGGAATTAAGGAATCAAGAAGCAAATCCAAAATGTTCAATTAGTCGGCTTACTGCTCGTCGGGAGTTTTGGCGACGATGGAGAGGGCGTGGAGACCGGAGTGAAGCTCGTCGGAGAGAGCGGCGTAGACCATGCGGTGTCGTTTGAGGAGGGTTTGGCCATGGAATTTGGGAGACACGATTTTGACGTTGAAGTGCGTCTCTTGGGCGTTGCTGTCTTTCATGGCGGCGTGCGAGGCGTGCTGGTGGGAGACGTCTTCGATTTCCAAAACAATCGCTTCCAACGCCGATTGAAGCTTCGTCCTCATTCTGCTCGCCCGACTCACCACTCCTCCCACCGACGCCATTTTCTTCTTAATAATCAATGAGAAATGAGATGAGATTCAATCAAAGGAGTTTGTTTAATTTTATCTGATTTTGATTTGATGAGCAAAAAGAAGAATTGGACTTCTTGGGATAGCGCCACAAACGAGAGATTGGGATTAAAAGTAATTCAAATTTCCAATTATTCCCATTTTGTATGAAAGAAGAACTCTTGAACCCTAAACTCTCTACGGGTACAAGGATTCAAATTACAGTGCTTTTCTTTTACATTTTTTAGTTAGGCATTCAGCGAAGATTTTGAGTTGAGTTTGAGTTATAATTTGAGTTAAAATTATACAGTTTGTGTTTAATTATATACATTTAAATTATAATTTGAGATAAAATTTTTTCTGAATTTGTGTTTGAGTTACTCAAAACTTAAATTTATAGATAGTATTGTAATAAAGGGAGAAAGATAGAAATAGTCCAAGACTTGAGATGAATTAAAATTAATAGGTCAATAGTTTACATAAGTTAATAAATATGCTAAATTACTGTTTTTGTCCATAATTTGTCTGGTTATGAACCATAACTGTTATTGTCTATAATTCACGGTTTTTGTCCATAATTTGTCTGGCTATGAACCATAACTTGATAAGTTTGTCCATAACTTCTCTGGTTATGAACCATAACTTGACAAGTTATGGCTTATTAATTTCTATAACTAAAAATTGGCCTATATACTTTCTTAAGCTTTTCATATGCGTGAGGTTTTATTCGTCTGTTCGTTGTCAACACATAGAAAAAAAATCATCTTAATCAAGATTAAAATGAAAAAGTTATAGCATTTTTAAGAATATAAAAAATATTGTTCATTAATTTGAGTTTTAGTTTCTGAACTCGAGTTGAAAGAAAAACTTGAACTCGAGTTTTAGTCCCAAACTCGAGTTCAAACTTAAAAGAACATGAACTTGAATAAAATTATAATTCGAGTTGCTTTTTTTTAAGTTTTTTAGGCTGTCGAACACATCCTTAAACTTTTGAGTTTGAACCAGATAGGTTTGAATTATGCGGTTTAAATTTGAGATTCAAAACTATAAATCTTTAGCCCCTCGTTTATTTCACCGATTCGAGTTTTCAGTTTTAGATTTTTACAATAAAAAGTTCTCAGAAACTGTTACATTTAATTTTTTCTGCTACAGTGAAAAGCTCTAAAAAAATATCACATCTCAGCTCGAATTGAAAACTCAAATCCGCGAAGTGAACAAGGCTTAGGTGTTGAACCATTTGTAGTTTGAATCGAGCAAAATCAAAAGGAGTGCCGGTTTTATTTTTTGTTTTTTGTTTAAAATAGTTCAAATATCACATCATGATTTAAAATTTGAATCTTATTTTTTAAAACCAAATACTAATTTTGTTGGGTTGAATTCAGAACTTTTTACTCTTTACAAATAAACACTATTTTAAATCTAAATCATGGTTTAAATTATGAAAATTCTCATATCAAACGGACTTTAAATTTTAATTAAAATCTAGCTAAAATGAGTAGAAAACTATTTTAATTAATAATTTTTAATGAGTCACACTAATTATATTTTTTATTTTAATCAAATATAGATTTTAATATTTATTAAATTTAAAATATAAATAATTTTATTGAATTCACGAGAAAACCTTTATTATTAGAGTTGAAAAAATAAAATAATATAAAAAAATAAAATAGCTATTATCTCCGTGCTAACTATATTTAGGTAGTGTGGAATGCGTTCTATAAAATAACTAACTATTTAGCTAATAGTAGATAAAAATTAAAAAAAAAGTTAAATCATTAGACATTTTGACTAAAAACATGAAATAGCTAGTATAATTGGAGTTATTCTCAAGGCACGTTTGGATCATATATTGAAGTTAGTAATTTTGGTTCATTAGTGAGAACTTTATAAGAGAGAAAAATTTTTAAATTTAAATTCTTTATGAAATAAAAAATATTGCAACAGAACTTAAATCCTTATTTAAATATATTTACTAAATAAGCCCTTAAACTTTAAAAACTTCCACGTTACTCTTCAAATTTTGATATAATCATGCTTCATCCTTTTGTTAGAATTTTTTTCAAAAGAACAAACCAGATAAAAAAAGAGAGGTAAAGTATAGACAAATGATATTTTTCTATTTATTTTTAATAAAAAAATTTAACGAAGGGACTACATGATCACACTTTTCCTTTTCTGTTGTTTATTTTTAAAATAAAATTAAGATTTAAAGTTTAGGGACACCAATAAAATTAACCTTAAATTGAAAACACTATTTTTCAAAAGAAATATTAATTTTAATGATTATAGATTTGAGTTTTAATAAATTATTGATTATAAATTATGACCTTTTTCGGGTAGGTTTCTTTGCCGATAGTGAAAGAGAAAAAAGTGACAAATGCTTTTAGAACCAGTTTGGCGTTGTTGTGTAGTTAAAAATTTTTGTTGTTGTTGTGCTTTTAGTTAGAATAAGTTGCTGTGACCAGAAGCATATAGGTGTTTAGTAATTTTTTTTTTAAAAGTTGTTGTGAATACTAGAAGCAGAAATTTAAGTGTTTTGTAAACTATATAAAAAAAAATTACTGTGAAAATGTATAATGACTAAAATAGACATACTTTAGCAACATACTTATAATTACTTCTGTTTCTATTTTTCTACTCAATATTCATAATATTTTTACATCAAAATACTAAAAATATATAATTTTTATTTATTAATTAAAATATCTCTAAAAATTATACATCTATAAAGAAATTAAAAAACATAAATAACTGAAGATAAATTATTTTTTAAACTTGCAACAATTTATTTTTCAAACTATTTAGCATAAGATATTTATTAAAGAATTTTAATTTTCAAATAAACATTTAAAATAAAATATATTCTTCAATTTGATATTGAAAATCAAGAAATAAATGGGTAGATTGAGAATTAAGTTTTATTATTAGGGTTATTTTAATAAATTTGGATGATGATAACATAAGTTGCTGTGCAAAAATAATCCATGACTTTCATTATGGTTCCCAAATTGCACGCATCATTATTCTATTCTTTTCTGACATCCTTTCATCAGAGAGAGAGCAAGAGAAAGTTAAAAGATTCTCTAAAAGAACGTATTGATCTAGAAGACATACCGCATGACTCTAGAGAGTAATTGATAGTCATGAATTCAGGTACGCTTCCGCATATTAATCTATTGATTCTCAGTGATTTAACATGAATATTTCTTAGATTTTGAGAGATGTTTTACATCTAAGGATATTTTCTATCAGTTGCTTCACCTTAGCCACTATAACTCAAAATTGGTTCAAAAATGGCTTGGGGCTTATGAGAAGTAACAATTTTGGGGTTTTGTTAATGAAAACGTCAATTTTTAATGGTTTTAAATACAAGTGGATTGTGTGCTTGCTTGACGAAAGATGATACAATATATGAAATAAAATAGAATGTAAATTAGAAAATGAAAAATTCAATAAAAATTTATAAATGCTTCCTCACTTTTACTATAAGTATCAGCTCTTCTTTTACTCACAACTCGTACATCGTCATCACCCTTCCATATTGTCTTTTACAAATGAGTAACGTGACTCAAAAATAATTTAAAATCACTAAAAATTGATGTTTCTAGACGACTCTTCTTATTTTTTAAATAGAAATTAATAGTTTTTTTTTTTTTTTTTAAAAGTTAACATATTTTAAAACACTAAAATATTTAAAAGAAAACAAGAAAGTAAAAAAGTTTCATATTTTTTTTTTCTATATTTATTAGTTTTTGGTTAATCAAATAGAAGGATATTAAGGTTATTTTACGTTTTAAAAATCCGTTTTAGGATATAAGAAGATGTTTTTTTTAAAACGCTGATGTACTGTTTTGATATTATAAAAAATATAAGATACTAAGAGTATGTTTTGTTATAATACGAGGTACCAAATTGATTTTAAACTCGTTCTTTTCGCTGATTCGAGTTTTGCTACAGTAAAAAACTCTCAGAAATAGTCATATCTAATTTTTTTACTACAATAAAAAGTTCTCACATAATATCACATTTTAACTCAAATTAAAAACTCGAATTAACGAACCGAACGAGACTTTTATATCTTAAAATAAAGAGTCGGGTCGGGTTACTCGGCTAACATGATCGGCAAATCGAACGATCTTCCTTATCCATGACACATAATATACAGTTACAAAAGGGTCTGTCTGCTCAGAACTCATTCTCGTCCACTCACTCTAATAATGGCTTTAACCATTATACCCAACGGTGGTGGAGGAGCCACGATCCTCTCCGGCAATTCCACCACACACCCCTACACCCGCCTCCCCATCCGCCGCCACGTCATCTCCCCCCTCTCCCATCGGACGACCCTCCACGTAGTCGCCGCCAAGAAGTTCTCCCCCAGAAGCGGCAAGAACCGGAGGACTTCCACCACCACCACCCGAGACCAGTTAGAGCTAGATCAAGATCAAGAGCAGAAACGGACGGCCGAGATTAAAAGGCCGGGCGATGATGCGAGAAGCGCGGCCGTTGATACTGCTGACGACGGGTACTTCTTGCCTAAGCTTCCCGGAGACGAACCAGACTTCTGGGAAGGCGAGCAGTGGGATGGCCTCGGCTTCTTTGTCGAGTACTTGTGGGCTTTCAGTATTGTTTTTGCGGTACGAGTTTTTTTTTTTTTTTTAAATGTTTTTAATAAAATTTTTCAATTTTTTTCTGTTTTAGTTTAGATATTCTAGTGGTGGAAATCACTATAACGTTCTTGAATCATATATATATATATATATATTTGTTGCTAAATTCATCCATTTAACATGGTTTGTAAAAGAATAAATTGCAAATGTAGCAAAAGGAACATGTTCTTGGAAAAATTTTATTGTGTTTGTCCAATTGAAAAAAATGCATCCTACTTGCTGTTACCACTAAAAGATGGAATTTTTATGTATCAAAAGAAAAGGAGATTTCGGCACAAATGACATTTTTTGAATGATTTTTTCATAAATGGTCGAATTTTTGTAAAATTACAAAATGGCCGTTTATATTAACTTAGCGGTCAATTGATTAAGCGGTTTGATTTTAGTTTACAACTGATTAACTTAATGATTCTTTATTATTAATCAATATTAGTTAATAATCAACTAAAATATTTAAATATTTAAATAAAACCAAAGAATTGGGATTGGAAGAGATTTGGACCTTTGTGCCTTTACATTCTCTGCTAATAAGTTTTGGCTAGATTCTATGCCTTTGCTTGACTTGGTGTTGAAAGAGGGAAGATAAAATTGACAACAACTAAAGCAAGAGCAATAGTGGCAAAGAATTAGATTGCATCTCAGAGCAATAATGAAGCTTTCTCAAACAAGGAAATCTTCCACTTTACTCAAAAAGATTATTCATTGATTGTATATTGGAGCTGATTTTTAACCCCAAAAATCTTCTCTTTTTGTTTTGTTTTTTTTTTTTCTTTTTTTTGCATTTGCAATTTTTAGAGGAAATTAAGAGCCACATTTCCTTAGGCATGTCTAAATACAATCAGACAACAAACTTGGTACTCTTTGTAAACATTTAGGTTGTTTAGAGAAAAAGAACAGCTAATTCGCTTCCTCTGAGATAAACCTCACTTTCAGCACTTGGTAAATGCCTTCCTTCCAAGAATGCTTTAGACCTTTTTGGCTGTTGCGCCTAAACATCTTCTTTAAGAGATTGTTTAGTAGGAGGGAAAAAGTGAAAGGAAGTTGAGAGGCAAGGGGATTAGTGAATGGATTTCAGAATCAGGACGATGATTGTTTGTTTGGAGAGAAAAGAGGAGGGAATAAATTGAGCGAGGAAAGATGATTGATTTTTAGTCAAAATATGCCGTGGGAAAGATGATTGGCCTTGTGCTACATGTCTAAAGCATAGTCATTCCAATTTGATTTGTGTACAGTTGGGGTTAACACCGCATGAACATCTTTCAAAATCTTACGTGTATATCTGCATTCTTCCCTTTGGTTTTGTCTTTCGGATGTGAGTCCTCTTGAAGCTTTTTTAAGGCTAATTTTGATCTTCTTTTCTTCTGAAACAGCTAATTGCTTGTGGAATTGCTGTTGCCACTTACAATGAAGGGGCAACTGATTTCAAGGACACTCCTGCGTACAAGGAATCAGTTCAATCCCAAGAGCTTTTGGAAGAACCTGAAGCATCGAATCCCGATGTCTTTGAGTCCAACCCGACTGAAGTAGCTCCTAGTTTGGAATAATCTACACAAGGAACAAATGACTTTTACACTTCGTGTATGTGTTATAGAATCCTAGTAAAGGAAACAATTCAAAGAAGGTATTTTCCTCAAATTTCCTATGTGACGTTGCCAATGTAATCTTTTGATGTATTCATACCGAGGGTCGTCAATTTTGCTTCTAGTTTTCTCACTCCTGTTGTATGGGAGTTATTAGCTTTAATATTTTGGTATGACTTCCCACAATAGTTGAATTCTCCAGCTTATAAGGGACAACCTTATAGTTCGGGTGTTTAAACTTAGTTTAGAGTTTGAAGTTTCTTCGCACTTTCGGTAGCAGGAACCATCTTAGAGAATCATAGGATAGTTATCAGGAAGAGAAGCTTTTATTCTTTGGCTATATATTTTCATAGTTCTTCTTCAGAAACCCTTTAATCAATACGCTGTAGAAAGTCCAGTGTTGTAGAATTAGCGCAAGAGTAATGTATACATACTGTATAGGAAGTTGAGTGTGCTGATACATAGGTACGTATGATCTGTTTAAGTTCCCATGAGTTGCACGTTATATACTCTTTATTTATGAATTCTCCCAAAACTTTAAAGCTGTTCGGAGATGTTATAAGCCTGAAACGCATTAAAGGCCGAACATGTGATGACAACATTATAGAGTGTGATTGCAGAAGTTTGAAGGACTTCATGTTCTGATACCATGTTTATGTGTTTACCGTCTTCCTGGAAGTTTAAGCTAGTAGGAGGTGGGTCAATAATCATTCTATATTAGCAATATACTAGTAGTTACTATGAACTGCTACTTGATTAAGTTTTCTATTATGTTTTTCATTTGTTGATCTAATTATCACAGTCTCAAATTTTGTTTGGATATTAGATTAATATTTGCTTACTCGGATCCAATAAGCAGAGTATTCTTGAAAAAAAAAAAAGAAAAAAAGAGAGTTTATTGAATTGCTCAACTCGAGTATTTTTCAGATTTAAACAAGGTCCTACTCTCTGTTTTAGCAGTTTTTGGATTTGATAATTAGATTTGAGAAAATAAAGAGAAAAAGAAGAAGGAAAAACATAATACAGATATTTTCTTTTCAATTTAAGGACTCATTTTACTCTGTACTGTTTTACTCAATTTTCTATCGTTCTACATTAACTTTCCATGTTACTTGAGGTTAAAGTTCTTAGGGATGTTCATGATCGATTTGGGCGGTTTTTTTAGAAACAACCAACTAAATGAAAAATAATTTTTTTATTTTTGACAGTTTGGACGGTTTGATATTTTTAATAAAAATCAAATTGAACCAAATCACTCGTAAGCGGTTTGGGTGGTTTGGTTTGAGCTTAAGATTAAAGTAGTTTTCAATAATTCATAAAAATTATAATGTTGTTAATCCATAAAAATAAAAAAAAGATTAAAGTTTACAATGTAACTTAAAAATAGTAAATGTATAAAAGTTTACCATTTAAAGTTTTAATACAAACCAATAAAAATATGATAAGGTGTATTCTATAAGTATATAACCTTAATTATGACTAATAAAAACTAAAATAAACATAAAAATATTTTAAAAATTAAAAAATTATATATGTATATTTTTGGGTTGTTTGAGGAGTTAAAACTACAAACCAAACCCTCCAAAAAAAATAGATTAAAAAACCAATCAAACCGCCCAATAATCTAAAAATAATTAACGATTTAATTCGGTTCGGTTTTCATGATTTGGCAGATTTTTTGAACACTCCTAAAAGTTCCAATAATTTTTTGTATCAGGACTACGGAACTCGCTTAATTTCTCGTAGGATTGTTATAATAAGGAATACCTTTTTCTTTTCTTTTTTTTTTTTTGTCTTTCCAGGATATTTTCCAGTATCTTCATGAGAATCTATTTGGAGAAAGCTTTCTGATTTATTCTTCAATTCTCAAATCATATTGTAGAAGTGGGATAGAACCTAAAAACCAGATTGCTTATCAAGTTCTTGTTTCACCAACATTTGTTGCTTTGATCGCCCTTTTTATCCCCACCTCAAAAAGACAAAATAAACTACCACATTTTTATTAAACTTGTGATTCAAGTAATAAAATGATATCCAAACTGAAATCAGTGTTAAAATTACCTCCCTAGCATATCAATCATATATCTAGATTCACTACTTGTTAATACATAAAAATCACCACAAAAAAAAAAAAAAAAAAAAAAAAAAAAAAAAAAAAAAAAACACACTTCTGAGATCAATCCATATTAAACATGCTACGATAAAATTGGAATCAAAGTATGCCTTCTGTGAGCACAGAAGTAATGAAAGCAGATGCCATCACCACTACAAAATCACTACCAGTCCTCAAATTGATGCCTCCACTATTTGCAAGCCCATGTCCCGTAGTGGTGCTATTTGATCTTGGCACGGTTTGTATCACTGGAGAAGCTGAAATATACCAATGTTTATTATCAGAAAGAAGCATATATCATAACAAAGTGAAATTAGAAATTCAGAATTCAATTCTACAAACGAAGCCAAATCTAAATAAAGTAAAAGTTAAGGTTTTTTTTTTTTTTTTTTTTTTAATAAGTTGAGAGGATTACATAGGGCATAGAATATAAGGTATATGTGTTTGCATACCGGCAGTAGAGTTCACGGGTGTGCTAGAGTTGGTGCCTGTTGATCCAAGAGAAACTTGAGAGCCAGGTGAAGTAGACCCATTTACCCCTTCCAAAATATAAACAAACAAACAAATAAATATTATTCACAGAATTAATCGCTCTTCAAATGACACATGATTTTAAACTATAGTGAAATTAAACAATAGGCAAATAAGAAAATACGATTGCTATAAAAAGGAAAAAAAAAAAAAAAAAAAAAAAAAAAAAAAACCAGTCACTTTTAATTCCACTACAATACAATTTCTGTGATATCATTAAGGTTGTGTTTGGTATGAAAGTTCTGGCTCAAACGTTTATTTATTTGTAAAAAAATAAAAAATAATTTTTAAAAATTAGTATTTAGTTTGAATGATTTTAGTTCAAAGTTTAAACGTAGTGTGATGTTTTAAATCATAACCACCGCAAAAAATAAAACTGCCATAATAAGTATGATAAAAAGCATAATCCTTGTGATACTTTCAAATTAGGACGGAAAAAAATAAAACACTTTTTTTTTTGTGGGGTGATATAGTACGATATTTGAGGATTTACCAGCTGAACAAACAGAGATATCTATTTGGACGCTGCAAAGCAGAGGCAGCTGCAGAGCAAGGGAGCTGTTGATAGGAAACGAGCTCAAAGTGGTGTCGTTTAGCAGCAGGCAAAGGCAGCGGGGCTGCTGCGTGTAGAGTTGCTTGAGGTTGTCACAGCACAGCTGGGCCGGCGACTGCATGGAGCCCTGCACGAATGGCCCACAAGGCGCCAGTGGAAGCAGCCGCGTCGTGCACTGAGCGATGGTGGGGCTCGGGTCCTGCGAAAGAGCAACGGCGGCCGCGGAGAAGGAAAGGAGGAAGAAGAGATTGAGAAAGGACATGGCTGTAGGTTGAGAAGAGGAAAGATGTTTGTTTCTACTGAGTTTAGTGTGGAAAGGAAATTAGGCGTTTGGGAAGGAGTAAATAGTTTCATGTGCATGTTTGGGGCGTGAGGTGCTGCATGCGCCGTGTGTGTTATTCTCCATGCAGATTTTGCCTCTCTTCATATTGGTGCATAATTAACATGATGTACGTTTAATTAAAAAATAATAATAATGATAACAACAATAAATAAAAGAATTCTTTGGTAGGGTATTAAGGAATTTCCAATTGTTTCGAACGATTGTTTTAAACTTAGTCAATTTTGTACACTTTTTTGTTTTGATTTGATTTTGATGAAATCTAACCTTCAGAAATAGGTGACGCTAATAGAGTATTCTTACTTTAGAGACCACCATTTAAAAATAAAAAATAAAAAGGAAACGGAAATCTGGATTTTGTAATAAGAAAAGTTACAAGCTCAAACAATGTTGTGCTATGTATAAAATTTCCAGTTTTTTTTTTTTTTTTTTTTTTTTTTTTTTTTTTTTTTTTTTTCTGATTCTATTGTTTGTTCACGTAGATATGCTTTTTTCCATTTTAATACTCTTTAACTAAGGAAAAGAGGTAGATGTGAAGCAATGACAAGAACTTAATTTGACAAATATCTCTTAAAATGCTACCATTAAAGATTTTTGAGTCTCAACGTTAGTCTATTAAATTTTATCCATTTGGATTAAGTATTTTGACAGATTATTATTTATAATTTGATAAATTATACTGGCAGTGGGTCTCCGGTCACCGGCAGCGAGTGTCTGATCATCAGCGGAGACGTAATTTGATAGATTACTATATATAATTTAACAGATTAAGGGTCAGTTTTTGCAATTTTTTCAAAAAATTTTGAGGTGAGTACAGTAACTTCAATTAAGAAGGTTTCGGATATTTATAAATTTTACTCACAAGTATTGGTCTTTTCACAACTAATCTGAAACCCAATCCAAATCTTTCTTATCTTTTCGCCAGTGATTAAGAAATGAATTTTTTTATAAAAAAAAAAATTAGGATTCATTTATATTTTTCAATTTGGATCCTAAAATATTACATCCACACTAGTTAAAGATTTTTTTTTTTTTGAAAAAAGAAAAAGGTAGGGAAAAGGCAATAAGTGGTTACAGCTAGCTAACTATAGTAGGTGCAAACCACTTGTGGTACCCGATCGATGTAAACTTGTTAATTGCCCAAAAGCCTAAAATAACACCAATTAAATTCTTTAATTAAAGGTGGGGGAGATGGAATCTTCCACTCCAAATCAAGGATCTTTAAATGCAATAATACTAAGTAGGTCTGATTAGAAAAAAAAAAAATTTATTTGAAGTCTTTTTTCGTTTTATAAGGGTAAGATTTGAACTCTATTCTTTAATTTGTACTAAAATTAGATGTGAAATTACCACTAGTCTACATATAACAATGGTTAGTAAGCGATGTAGGTTAATGGTTGTTTTTGATATTTGTCATTGGTCAAGAATCGTTACTTAAAGTACTGATTTTTGTCATGATTCGAATCATTTAGAAGGGAGATTCATGTCATGATTCGAATTATGGTTCATAGTTCGTTACAGTATTTTCTCTCACAAAAAACACACGTAAAATGAGAATGATTCTGAATCATGATTCTAAATCCATGAACCAAACGTCCCATTAATGTCCCTCTATATTACATTAGTACAAAAACTAAGGTAAAATAATTTGCAAAAACGGTTTTTGACTAACATTAATCAACGTTTTTCTTATAGTGATTGACAATCATTGATTCTCCAATTATACTTTTGCATGGTATATTGTTAGGGTATATTATCATAAATTGTCGCCAATTAACTTGAGAACGTGAGTAATGAACAACGCTGTTCTTGTACATATTAAATTGTGAATTTGTCACGCATCACTAAATTATTGGACTATTAGGATATTTATAATTAGTTTGAACACCTTCTTTTTTTTAGCTGAGGATGAGTTATGCTCAAGGCACATTTATGTGAGACTTTTTTACTGTAATAAAAAAATTAAATGTGACTGTTTCTTAGAGCTTTTTACTGTAACAAAACTCAAATTCTAAACTTGAATTTGTGAAATGAACGAGGCCTTAATATGGTACAGTCTCCTTCTGAAATTAAGGAGCATAAATGTAATATTTGAACCCCACAAAATCCACAATAAAAACTAATTTAACTGCGTGAAATGGATGAAATTCATTACAATATTGATTAGGATATATATTTAGTTATTAGATTCTTTCTTTCCTCAAAAGTTACATAATAATTAGCAAAGCAATATCTCTATAGCCAAATATAATTTAGAGCCTGTTTAGTTCGCTGATTCGAGTTGAGATGTGACTTTATGTGAAAGTTTTTTACTGTAACAAAAAAGTTAGACGTCACTATTTCTGAGAGCTTTTTACTGTAGCAAAACTCGAATCGATGAAATAAACGAGACCTTACTATAGAAGTTGGATCCAATATTCTTTTTAGATCTTCTGCTAAGGACTTTTCTGCAATATGCCCATGTCAACTAATAATTGTAAACCTACAACTGAGGCCGATACCATAAATATAAGATGGTCAGGTGGACCTCTACAGTAATGCAAAGAAGGTAGAAGCTCAAACTCAGGACTAGTGAACACGAACAATATAATATAAATACATATATGGCTTTTGCTTGATTTGAGTATCAATCTTACGACAAACCAAACTAACAGACCTTTCTCACCATGTCTCCAGTTTCCTGGGTGAAGAAGAAGCTTGGTCGGCGTAGAACCCGCAGTGCTAAATCGGCGGCGCCTTTTCCTCGGACCAGTTCTAGCCTTCTGCAGCCTTCTTTGGATTCCTTATCTGTCCCTCTGGTTTTGTGTCTCCTTCGTCTCTCTCAATCTCATAATTCAATGGAAAAATGCACTTTTTTCGTGATATCTTTTGTTGTTTTGCATTTTGATCGGGTGTGCTTCAATATGCTTAACTTGGAATTATTGGTGTTTTTGGAAATTTAATTAATAGGTCAATCGGGAAATTCATATAACGACGGCTGATTTGCGACGCGCTAATTCCCAGAATAAAACTGATATGTTTTCAGAAATTGATGGTAAGTCCGCTGCTGTTTATGCTAGTATAAAATTCAAAATCCGCCTATCTCTTATCAGTTTAAGTTTTTTTATAAGAAATGATGATATTACAAAAACCTTCCTACTTTTTTTTTTCCTTCGAATCATGAGTACACATATATTACCAAGATCTAAATGATGATGAAACTCACCAGTACTATATGTGTTAAAATATAAAATAGCTTAAATTTTTGTGATAAATTGATAAATTAACATGATATTAGTGCAGGAAGTCTTGAGTTCAAACTTCCGTAATTACACTTTTTATCTCCATCTAAATTGTCATTATGTGTTGGGTCTTTAATATATCTCGGGTTTAAATATTCACGTGTTGGGCTTTTCAAGTAATTTATCCACGCGATTGTTCATTGTCTAGCCTACACGTGAGGGGGAGTGTTAAAGTATAAAACTATTGTTGGCCCACCTACTAAAAATTTAAGGCTCCGTTCATTTTACCGATTTGAGTTTAGAATTCGAGTTTTGTTATAATAAAAAGCAATCACATCTAACTTTTATGCTACAGTAAAAAGTTCTCATATAAAGTCACATCTCAACTCGAATTAAAAATTCGAATCAACAAAACTAAACAAAGTTCTTAAGGTTTTGAGATGAATCGGTAAACTAATAATATGCATGGCTTTATCTGCAGATTTGGAGTCTATAGTGCTGCATTTAATGGAGAACAAGGTTACACTTATTCGACGTAAATCATTCATGAACAAAGGACCTTCAAAAAGATCAGCAACTGTTTTCTACAAAAGTCTCTCTCGGAGAGCCTCTCGGATTGCGCGCTTTTCTTCCCTCGGAGTCTATGGTTGTTTGGGCGTTAATGGGATGATATTGCCACACAGTAAATATGTCTAATTACTAAACTCTAATAATAGGTTGGTCAGGCAAAAAATGGTAAAAAAAATAAAAAATAAAAAATGAAGGCTTTTGCTATACGTTGCTAGATGGTAAAGTTGATTGTTAATCAAGTTTGTGTGTGATATATACGTAATGTTTAAGGTGTATCTTTGTTTGATGTGTTATGATCGTGATATATGTATTCCCTGTAAAATAGAAGAAACATTTATATTTGTTCAGAGTGTATTATATATTTGTGTATGGATTGGAAGAATATGTTCTGTATATATAACTAGTAAGGGATGAGTATTTTCTGCAACAGTTAACGTTTTTGCCTAGATTCGCTTTCCATGATTGGTTCCAAACTATAACATCCACATTTATGTTTTTAATCCCTATGTATTGAAGTTTGATATGGTTATTATAAAAAAAACAAACTTAAAAAAAGAGAAAAAACTAAAAATGTCAACAATAAAGTAACACATTTTATTTCTACTACTGTTGTATATTTATCTCATGTTACTAATATTCTGTAAGTCAGGTTATTTTTCGTAACTTGCAAATAAAGATAACATGTAAGTTATTTTTAGAAACCTACAGATATTATCTATAGTAACATTAAAATTTTATATAGTGGCATTAATAATAGAGTTAAAAAAAAACAGTAGTTAAACTTAAAATTTTCTCCAAACAAAAATAAAAATTGATATGGTCGATATATATGGTAACAACAATCTTTTGAAAAAGGTATAGAATCAGAAAACAATTTTCCATTTATCTGGAATAAGTACTGATCCGTTCAAAAAATAAAAAAAGAATAAAGAAAAAGAACAAGAACAAGAAAGAATAAGTACGCCAAATTATAAAGCCAAGTGCTTAGCAGCTCACCTCCTCGGTGCGAGTTCAAGGCTCCGTTCACTTCGTTAATTCGAGTTTAGAATTCAAGTTTTTCTACAGTAAAAAGCTCTCACAAACAATCACATCTAACTTTTTTGCTACAGTAAAAAGTTCTCACATAAAGTCACATCTCAACTCGAATTCTAAACTCGAATAAGCGAAGTGAACGGGGCCTTGGTACTTCTTTATATTGAATGGACCATACTTGCCAATAAAAGCTTTTGAAGGGACTTAAAGAAGAATAAAAGATTTCGAAGGGACTTAAAGAAGAAGGATAATATTTTTTCATTGTGGGGTTCAAACTTCAATTCTCTGTTCTAATATTCTATCCCTTCTGTGTCCCATATCATGAATAAAATTTAGCCACACGTCATAAAGGATTTTATTACTCATTAAAATACTTAAAGGGCCAAATGTTAGCTTTATCTCGCAAATTAATTACACATTATTACATTTTCAGCCCATACTACTTCACTTGTGATTAACATGACAAATTAGTCCATGAGTCATGCATTAGATTCAAAGATTCTTTTATTAGAAAAAAAAAAGAAACAATTTTTTTTTTTGGGAAAATTCAAAGTTTGAGGCAAAATTCTAAAATACCAAAAGGTTTTCTCAATAGGATGTCTCAATGCATCGAGATTCAAGATACGACATGGATTAAAACTTCCAGGGGTTTTAGACTATAAGAATAAGTGCAATAAAAGATATATATGTTTTATGTGTTTGAGGTTTGGAATTCAAATGCATCACCTTCTTATTAAAAAAAATGTAAATTTGTTTACGAAAATAGTAGTAAAAGCATTTTTAAAAATTTAAAATAAGTAAATAGTAAGATTTTAGGAGTGAACAGGAAATTTACTTGGTAAATAGGTTATTTACTTAAGTAAATAAATGATTCATTTGATTTATTTACTTCTAAGTAAATGTATGAGTTTGTTTAGTAAATTTGCTATTTACTGCTATTTACTTCAAAAATATTTTTAAAATTTACTAGTTTCCTTGGACTACTTTGTTGGATAACTCTCGGGTAGGTACTTCTTTTATCCAATTGTTTCTAGGACTACTTTGTGGAAATTTAAAGTTTGGGGCCAATTTCTAAAATTCCAAAAGGTATCTCAACGTTTCAAAAGGTTTAAAGAAGGAATTTTGATTGTTATCCTTAAAGTTCTTATAAAGTTTCATAATTAAAAAAATATATATTTATGTTCCTATTTAATAGAAATAAATCCTTTAGTGATTTTTTTTTGGCAGCTTTCTATGGAAAAGGTACTTACTGATAGTGTGTTTTTATAAACATTAGATTTAATCAAAATTATATTAAAAAAAATGAAAAAGTGACGGAATCCAATATAAATCTAACGGTTTAAAATAGAACTCTAATGATTGTTGGGAATAGTGTCCTAAAAGTATGAGATGTAAAAAGATATTTATTATTTATTTAATAAAAGAGTTTATTCATCATTTTATGTGCATATATTTATGAATATTTTATGAATATCAAATAAAATTCCTTGATTATTTATGTAACCTTAAACATGGTATATAAGTGTTGTATACGAGAGGATAATGTTTAAGGATAATAATCAAAAGTAATTGTTCATAATGAATTTAATTAAAGTTCGAAATCTTTAATTAAAACATTAATAATACATGTCATTCCCATTTAGAATGGAACGGTGTTATCCGCACTGTTTAATATGGTGAGATATTGAATGAGTGTATTTCGCATAATGAGATTATGTGGAACATGGACGCAGACACAATATGAATTTCTAATAATTTCCGTTAAGCATAGAAATTCTAATTGAGTCCATCGATGGTCATATATAGGATGATCTTAATCCTAAGTTCTTAACAAACTCCTATTTATGGATTTATGTCTTTTGATTTACTCGGTACGGATTCCGAGACCCTAAATCATATTCCTTGTATTTTGGAGATATAATGAAATAGGTAGCTGGGAATGTTATTATACGAGATGGAATCTATTCCTTCTTGAGAAAGAAGCAGATAAATAATTCTCTTGAGTGTTGATTCGGTACTTGGATTAGTAAGAGCGCTCTGGTTCATGAATGTGTTTTATGAATCACTATCCATTAGAGAATCAATGGTACTCAAG